AGGCCTTACTGTCATTGCCTTTCCAACTCCAAATATCCAAGAACTTATCCCTTGTCACTGCATGTCATTTCCGTACCTGACCAGTTCTTGAATTGGCAGTATTGCTGGTAACACCAGCCAAATTAATTTAAACTCAAACCTCAGTGTGTTAGTTTCCTGTTGCTGCTATAACAAATTACCATGAACATAGTAGTTTAAAACAACACAAATTTGTTATGTTAGAGTTCTGGAGGTCAGAAGTCGAGTGTGGGTCTCACCAGACTAAAATCAAGGTGTGGTCAGGCTACAATTCTTTTTCAGAGGCTCTAGGGGAGAATCTGTGTCCTACTTATTTGGGTAATTACAGAATTCAGTTCTTTGCAGTTTTAGGACCAAGGTCCTTATTTTCTGGCTGGCTGAAAATTGAGGGCTGTTCCCAGATTCTAGCAGCCAACTTCTTGATGCCACATTTCTTGGTTCATGCCTCATTCCTCCATCTTCAAAGCTAGCAACAGGGAGATGGGCTGGGAGCATCCTTTTCGTGCTGGATCCCTCTGATTCACTCTCCTACCTTCCTTTTCTACTTTTAAGAACTCACATGATTAGACTGAGCCCACCCAGGTAATCCACAATAATCTTCCCACATCATGGTCCTTAACTCTAATCAGATCTGCAAAATCCCTCTTGCCATGTAAGATAACATACTTACAGGTTCCAGGCATTAGGATGTGGACATCTTTGGAGAGCCAGTATTCTTCCTAACATACTCAGAAAACTTCAATTTTTTTAAATTATGAAGAATATGAATTGCAAGGAACCACCCTTTATGAAAAAAAATCCCACAGAGGTTAAGTGAAGGGCCCAGAAACCCAGAGTTAGTTTCAGCAGTAGAGCTAAGTCTATAAATCAAATGCTCACTCTCTGGCCATTGCTCCTGACTCCTCCCATTTCCTACCTCCCATCTCCATATCTAGTCATCCTTCCCATGCATTCTTTTCACTGTAACATGGGGCGCTACAAGGATTAAAGAGAGATGATGTATGTGGTAACAGCAATAGCGAACATCAGTGGATGCTCCCTGTGAGCCAGGCTTAACACACTCGAGCTTCACACACATTTATTATTTAATATGCTAACAATTCCATAAGATATGTGAATTCATTAGTATCAGCCTTTTTCAGTGCTTTAGAAACAGGCTGGGCTGGGCCAAGTTAAGTGACTTGTTCAGGGTCCCACCAGTAATTCATTGTGAGCTGGGATTTGAACCCAAGCAGCCTGACTTCAAAGCCTACCCTCTGAGCCTCTGCTTTGCCCTATTTCCAATGACAAACTCTGTGGACCACACTCGAGTATATAAATATAGGGTATTGTTATTAATATTCCATAGTCTCTCTCTCATCTGTTCCTTCTTCCACGCCCACCGCTCCCTTCTAAGCCCAGGCCTTGATTCCCTCATACATGAGTGAAATATTAGAACCCCAGAATCTTCTAATTAGAAGGAATCATTAACATTCTGTGCATCGACTTTTTCCCCAATGCAGTGAGCCATTTCTCCCAAATGCACACCACTGGCTCACAACCCCACTTTAGCTCCCAGCCAAGTTCTATCTTGCCACACAGTGGGAATCACACTGAAGTTTTTGAAAAGTTTGGAGTACTTAGCAACATTTTAAAATAAGGAGATTTCAAATAAAACTCCAAATTTTCACCCCTCCAAAATTGGAAGTTTTAGAAGATGACCCGTAATGTCAGTTCTCTGGCCCTCTAAAGCACACCCAGTTTGCAGTAATCAATGTAGGTGGCTCTTTCCTCTTTAAAGTTTATTCATTGACTAAAATATTCACTTGACATTTGGACATACACTATTGGGCACTGTTATTTAACTCTTTCACTATGTCTTGTTTTCCCAACTAGATGCTAAGCTGCTTGGTGCTTTATTTATTATCCTCCAGGAGTCCACTCTAGTGCCTTGTATCTGGTAGATGTTTAAAAATATTTTTGGGTTGACTGATGACATCATTAAGGAGTCTCTAGCAGTCAGAGATCAGTAAGGAACCCATGACAGGTAGTTCAAGAGCAGAAATTTAACACAAATATTGCAAGGGGTCAGGTCCCTGTGAGCAGCGGGGTAAAGATGGTGAATGGATCTGAGGGCAATGAGGCACAGTCCATAAAAGAAAGACTTGTGAATACTTCTTAGACAGCAATTATTCAGAATCTGGTTTGCAGTAGTAGTTACAACTGCCTATCACAATAGATAGATTGCTTACTATCAGGTCTTACAAATGTATGCAAAAAGGCCATTCAAATACATGTCACAAATAACATAAAAAACTCTGCTATCAATCCTGAGCCTTCATTGCCTACAGCAATGACCTCAGTAATATACCCTTTATTAACTTTGCCTCTTTTCCTAATGCCCTCTCCCTCCTCTCTCACTTCTGATTCCTGGGATCACCTCCCAAACAAACTACCTGCACCTAAGTCATGCAAGATCATGTCTGAGTTTTTCTGAAGTTTTCATTTTTCTCCCCACTATTTGATACTGTGGGGGATATAAAGATTTAAAATGGGAGACGGTTGGTTGTCTTAAGCCCATGACTGGTAATACTAGTAATTATTTACTTCCAACACATTCTCCTCCAAGTTGGATGGGAAAGATAAGGCTTATTTAATCTTCTAGGAATGGATCTTAAAAGGATATGAATCAGCCCCTTGTGTGAATATTTTAGACCCAACTGAAACTTGTAATCTGGTGACAGTCCTCCTTTGGATTGACTTACTGTTCCACAGACAGATGATTCAAAACAAGGTGCCACATCTAGGCACTCTTGTGTGGGAACCCCAAACAAAGCAACATAATTTTGTTATTATATTGGCTCTTCAGGGTTTGGGACAACAGACACTCTTCCAAGAATTGTATTTTCAGATTTTACCACATAACCAAAAAAATTAATGAAAACAATTCTATTTTGGCACAGCCAAAAAGTGTTTACTTAGCTGTGAGTTCCTCACATCACATTGCTCAATAAAGACCCTGACATAACATTTTTATTAAGTGATTAAAAGTGACATCATTAAAGAAAACTTTAGCTCCTAGCTGATGGAATTTCCCAAAGTGCAAGTGGTCAGCAGTTCTAGGTGGGCCTTGGCCAAAATAGGAAGAGGGTGAAATGTGTTCTTGATCCCCCACACCCCTTAGTTCTTGCTATTTTGCCTCCCTCACACAGTACCACTCACCCATCCCCTTGCCCCTTGACCCCTCTAGAATTGATCTTGGCTCTCTCAGGGGTTTATGGACCATCCCATTCCCAAGGGTCTGGGAGATGAGCTTTGGAGTGTTTGTTTTTTTCTTAAAATAAAATGCAAATTAGTGAGTGTATTCATATATATTTCCTCCTGGAAAGAGTAGAATGCCAAAGGGGAATCTGTTTTAAATTAATGGCCATTTATATAGCATTACTGTGACCAAGCACTTCATAAATATTAAGTCATTTAGTCCTCTTAACAACTATATGAGACAAGTTATCCCCATTTTACAGATGGGGAAACTGAGGCTCAGGGAGGTCAAACAATGAGCCCAAGAGTACTAGTAAAAGGGTAGACCCAGGATATGTGCCTAGGCTCTCCAGTACCACTATACTGGGCTGCTTCTCACCTTGGGCTGTGGTCCAAAAGAGCAGAGAGCCACTGAACTATTGGCTGTCTACCCTGCTCCACCAGGAGAGATGTGCACTTTAGGAAGGATAATAGCCTTGAAATAAACTATTTCTGACAGGTGGAGGATATTAGGGCATCATCCCCCATTCCCAGGGCCCCTGAAGTTAGAGACACAGACAGCAATCTAGGCTGCTGGTCAAGGCCAGTGCAGATAATGAAGTATTCTGATCATGCTTTCCATTTTAAAATGCCAGCTGCCATTTGTGTTCACCTTCTGAAGGCTGGTAGCTTCTGGGGTCATTTCAATCTGCTATGTAAATGTTGCTTAGTGCTTCAGGGGGCAGGGAGGGAGGGAGGCTGACTGGCTTTTATTGATCACTTACTACACTGGCATTATACCTGTGCTTCTTTACGGAGTTTCCCCACACAGATGACCCTCTACCAGACCCTGTCTCCTCCTACTCTCCCCTTACTCAGCTATACTGGCATCCCTGCTGTTCGTTCAATACATCGGGCTGTATTCCCACCTCAGGAACTTTGCACTTACTGCTCCCTCTGCCTGGGGCACTTTTCCTCCAAAAGCCCCTTGCTTTACCTTGGCACCTCCTTCCAATTTTGCTTAAAAATCACTTTCTGAGAGGCTGATCCAGATTACTCTATTTAAAATCTCAACACTTTCTCCTTCTGCCTGACCCTTTCCATCCCCTTAGCCACAGCACTACTTGCCATCTAATGTGTATATATATTTATTTATGTATGTATGTATGTATGTATGTGTAGACACACATACACACACACAGCCCTTAGAGGGAGTGTCTCCTGACATTTTGGGCCCTAGACCCCTCACTTGCCTCATCCTGGTCCCCGCCCTGTGTGATACATAATAATTTTGCCTCCAAGAACCAATTTTCACTCCCATGGGGGCAGTTTTGTCCCCGTAGAGTATACATGCTCCAGGGTTATCACAGTTCCTTCCCAGAGATACAGCTCAAGGAAATTTGCTTGGGTGTCCCTCTCCTCCCTGATTCCCACTAGAGTCTACAATGATTCTATTAGTCAGCTGACATGCTCTTTCACACCAAAGCACTTGTGGTTATGAGTTAGCAAGAGTTTCTGGTGGTGGAGTTTAAGGGCAGAAGCACCTGGAAAGGTGGGGGTGGGGGCACTAGCGGCTAGGGTACAGTTTTCCAGTCTCCCTCAGATCATGCCACTTTGCCAGCTCATAGTTGTGCAGTCACCCCTTGGCCCTTCTCTAAGGTTTCCTGGGGGGCACAGAGCCTAAGGTAAGACTCTGGAGCAAAATGAGCTCCCCACTGTCCTCTCTCTCCAGACCCTGGAACAGAACAATATTGTTTTTACAGCTATGAAATAAGTGAGGAGGGTGATCTGAAGTGGGATGGCCAGAGAAGAGGCTCCTGCAGTACACTGAGAAAGACACAGTGAGATCCCATGCCTGGGAAGTTGCCATGAAAAGAGTTGCTTCTAAGGTAAGACAAGATTTGGTGTGGGGGGGGTCACTGGGATGTGGGGGTGAGGGAGAAGCAGGGGTCAGCCAGCCGACAGTTAACCCACCAAACCCCAGCAGCCCATGTGACACTGCCCTGAACCCCTCAAGTGTGGTAGGCAGGTCATGAACCTAGACTGAAACCCAGACTGCCTAGGTCCAAACCCACCACTTGTTTTGTACACCTTTGGTAATCTGCCACCATGTAACTTTGGACAACTTAACCCACCTGTACTTCAATTCCCCACTTGGAAAATAGAGCTGAAGATAACCATAAGAGGACATACTTCATGGGCACTACTATTACAGCACTGAGAAGGACACAGAGTAAATGCCGTTCGTGTCGGCAGTTAATACAATGGTGCCCTCTCTATTCCTCACTTACCTAGTGACTTTTCTAAAAATGATTTCTCCCTCTACTGAACAAGACTTCCACTTCAGTTTCTTTGCCTCTATATTATTTGCTCCCAATGTTCAAAATGCCTTTGGGAATCACTTTGGAAACAGGTGAGGAAAGAGACAGAAGTCAAAGGGTTTCAGGAGATCTGGTGACCATAATTTTTATTTCATTAAGTTCTTGTACAAAGTCAAGACCCAGCAAAATTTTAGGGAAAGAGTGGAAGGCACAGCCAATCATGATGTTATCAGGTGGTCCTCTAGTGGGATGTGCAGTCTCCCTAGGGTCATAGGCTGGCTTCTAAAAATTAACATTAGTTTCTTTTCTGATTATAATAATAATGTGGGTTTATATGGAGAAAATTCTAAAGCAAAAAAAAAAGGTAAAGAAAAACTTAAAACTGAAAAACTTATCTGACTACTCAAAGATAATGTCACCTGGCTTTCAGAACATCTTTAGGCCAGTTGCAGAACAAAACAACTAAATAGAGTCTTGGGAGATGTTCACATCATGTTTTATTTAGAAGAATTAACAGACACAAAATTGAGCTCATTAGCTTTCTAGTATGTGTGGGGATTTTGTGATGCGGCATCATGACTAGGCTGAGCTACATTTCCTGGGATGCCATTGCTATATGTTTCTGGGTAGTGTGGGACACAAGAGAGTTTCTTGTGGCAGAAGTGGGCAAAAGTGGAGCAGCAGCCACTTTACAGGCCCCACATGTTGGCAGTTATTAGCTGCCTCACCTCATTAATATGAGGGAATGCCAGCCTGCAACTGCTCCACCATCCCCTGGATCCTCCTTCAGCTTCTCCCACTCCTGGGCCAGGTATGTATGCAATTTTGTGCTGGAGGGTTCAGCTTCTGCAGTACATCCACACCACCAAGGTCACAGGTAACAAGAACTGACGTGGGTTTCAGTCTGTTTTGTGGCTACAATTCATGTTTGTGGGTTCCAGCTTGTTCTTGCACTCCCCCATCTTATATGCATCCTCCCTTCCCTACTCCCTGCCCATCAGAGAGCATCGGATGTGAAGACAACAGCTTTATAGCTCCCACAGTTGTATAAGGTGAAATCTCTGATAAATTCCGTGTGTGTGTGTGTGTGTGTGTGTGTGTGTGTGTGTCCCGTCCGTCCGTCCGTCCCTAGGGATTCTCCTTCTGTGACTGAACCTTGACTTATACAGTATGAAATAGAAAAAACCTGAAGCAATTAGAACAAATGGTCTATAGCTGCACTTCTCAATATAGTAGCCACTAGGCACATGTAGCTATTTAAATTTTATTAAATTAAAGTTAAATAAAATGTAAAATTCATTTCCTCAGTCATGTTTCAAGTGCTCAATAGCCAGCCACATGTAGGTGGTGGCTATTGTATTGGGCAGTAGAGATATAGAACACATCCATTACTACAAAATTTTATTAGACTGTGAAGGTCTCTAATGATAATGGCTAGTATTTACTGAGGTCTTATAATGTGTCAGATACATTACAGGCAACTGTTTTACATGCATTAACTAATTTAATCTACATACTCTAGGAGAGATGTACTGCTACTTTACAGATTAAGGAAACTGAAGCACAATAATTGAATACCTTGTTACAGTTAGACTTAATAAATGACAGGGGTAAGATTTAACCCTAGGAAGTCCAGAGCCTATAGTCTTAACTTCTGCTATCCTGTGAAGGTCCCAGTGGCCTAGGTTGGCAAAAAAGGAGTGGGTGGCTCTGGTGGAACCTCTTACCCTCATATGACTCTCTCCTGATTAGACAATGAGCATCTCAGTAGTGACCATGATGGACTCCTCCAGATTTCTGAGATTGTATGAACCTCGGTTCATGCTTACCTCACCCCACCACACCTTCCAATGGCAGAATGAGATGTACCAACAATCCTAGTGAGAAGGGTCATAGTCAGATGTATTGGTTAAGGTTAGGCAAGCCGTTGCAACAAATAAACCCTCAGGGATTTAAAAAATCTCAGGGACTTAAAATTTATTTTCCATATGTAAAGTCCAGTCAGCAGCCTAGGGGCCAAGGGTGGGGGCACAGAGTAAGGGGCACCTGCTCTATGCAGTCATTCAGGGACCCTGGTCGGCAGAGGCACTGCCTTTTCCAGCATTAAGATTCCAGGTTTGCTCTGGAGAGTAACATCCAGCAGGCAAACAGGGAAGGAGGGAGAATGAGGGGATCAGGTGGAAGATTTTTAATGGATAGGCCTGGAAGTAGCAAACATCACTTCAGCCCACATCCCCTGGCCAGAACTCAGTCACATGGATACTTCTAATTGCAAGGACAGCTGGGAAATGTAGTCTGGCTGTGTACTGAGGAAGAAAAAATAAAAGTATGGTGAGCTGCTAGCCAGTCTGCCACAGCAGATTTAATATGAGTGCTGTGGCATAACTAATACCCATGAAACTAATGATGGGTCAAAATTAATGTTAAAGTCCCCCTGCCTCACCACCATTTTCTCTCTTGTTCTTTATCATAATATTGACAAAGTCAAAAGTCAAAATATGAATCAGAGGAGGAAGAATCCTTGCCACTTTAAGGATGTATATGAATCCCACCTTCTTTGTGACTCATCTCCCAGGTTTACTCTCAGCGAACATCCATATAATGGTTTTTTCATGACCCTCAAGAGTAGGACTCCCATGTAACAAACCAGCTCTCTGTAAACAGCTACATACTAGTAAAGGCCACTAAGAAAGGCTGGAATTGTGGGTATTCCTGCTGCATACTACTTAGTTGGAAAAGTTGTATGTTTTAGTTGCCTCTGTTTTGAAGCCGTGTAAACCTTAAACCTTTGCTGTAGCATTTCTGGGTAAAGACCCTTAGCAGGCCTTTTGGCCTTTGTGTGTTAGTGACTCCTATTCTAATGCCTTCTCCTTAATATTATGTTTAGCTTGTCATGAGCTTTAAAAGTCTGATTTGGGATTCCTCACTTTTAATAATATGTAACTCTTGACTTTGTGATCTTCTCCATATGAAGAAAATGTCCATGTCCATTTTTTCCAATGGATGAATGAGCATGCCTCCTTCACCCTGCTTTAAATGTTATTAAGTGACTGGGCTCTTTAAGGAGACTTAACTTGGCTTCAAATCTGGGCTCTGCATTGAGTAAGTTTCTAACATTTCTCTGCTTGTGTTTCTTCATCTGTAAAATGGGGGTGATTACTTTGGATGAAATTAGATTACATTTATAAAGTATTTTATCACTGTTCCAACAGTAAGTGGTAATTATTATGCATTCCGACTAGATGATTCTGTGTCCTTGTATAAAGATTACTTTATATAATAAACTGGGACTTTTTTTTTATTAATGCAAACACTGTATCAGTAATTTGTCGAGGAGCATTTTAAAAATCACGAAGATGGCTTCTTTCCTAGATTTGCATGTATGTGATTTCCATTCTAACTACAAAACATTCTTATCTATTCACTAATGCTGGATTAGTGAAAATATCTATTACAATACTGTGTTTGTCTAATTCAAGTTTCCATAGCTCAGGATCACAGGAAGACATGTCCTAGAAGGACCCGGGTGGGGGTGGGATCGGGGTGGGGTTCCATCTCTTTGCATTACACATCAGGAAACTGAAGTTCACAGAAATCTATTTCAGAGGTAAAGGAGACTTGAAGATGACCTGGTAAAATACTGTAAATCTAGAAAACTGGCCAAGGTAGTCACTTAGACTATATTTCATTATTTCAAAAATTGCTTATTTACCCACAATAGACTACATGAGAAAATTAGTGTGACATTTACTTTGTTTGAAATTATATCTCTACAGGTTTTTCTATTGCTGATCACAAACACTGGAGATGGTTAGTTATATATATATATATATCTTCACTGACCAAAAAATGGGGGAAAAATATTTACTTAACTCATTTGAAAGATAGCATCCTTTATGACTTGGAACTCACTGGAAGAAAAGAATTACAAAGTACGTCGTAAGTAGGGAAAACACTAGATACCAAACTAGTCCAGTCCCCACAGTCTTCAAATGAGGAAACAAGCTCAGGAATATGAAGGGGCTTGCCCAGAGTTTATTCATTTATTCCAATTTTTGAAGGCCTGCTCTGTGTGAGGCACTCAGGTTACAGCAGGGAATAAACAAAGCCCTGGCCTCAAACAGAGTTTTAGTGATATTACTCTGAAAATATCCTAACTAACTGAAAATTCTTCACCAATTCAGACTCATCCCCTCCTACCTGTACACCAAACCTCAAAATCTGTTAGATTCTACTGTGAATCCAAATCAGTGCAATAACAAATCATATGTTAAATTAGGAGCAAGACAAAAAAAGTCTATATAGTTGAAACACAACACAGCTATGTGTTCAGTTCTTGTTTATTGAGTTAATCAGATAATTCTAAGCAATTGTACTTTAGTCACCAAAGCAAGACTATTGCCTGTTTTACCATTTTATATTTTCATTTGTCTTCTTTAAATTGACAAAATTCTGTACTACACTAAATACTATACCAATGAGAGAAGCTTTTACTTTATTCTCTGTGCATCCTAAAAGAAAAGAAGAGGAGAAATTGGGGATCAACAGAGGTGAGGCTTAGAACCACA